AGTGGATAGAGGCCAGGGATGCAGCTAAAAATCTTCCAAAGCACAAGACAGCCCACCCACAAAGAGCTGAAATTCAAAAAAAAAAAAAAAAAAAAAAGTCAACAGTGCCAAGGTTGATAAATCCTAGGCCATGACAAAGAGTGTACGTGCAAAATCCTCACTGATCCATCCTGACAATCCAGACGCAGTTTCCACTATAGAGGCAGTAATGGGTGGCTATTTTCATGGCTCCTAAAAGTTTGGCGCCTGTGCTCCACTTCACCTTCCTCTAGCAGCTCCCATAATCTGCTAAGACGTGAAGACAGATCTCTGAGTTCATGGATGTGCCAGTCTTGAACTTGGCTGCCAGTTCTAAGGATTTTAAGGGAAGTGGTTAGAATTAACAGTAAAAACTAGATTTAGGTATTATCAGTTTATTAATTATGCTAACCCACTGCCCGTTATCACATATGACTGAAGACTGGCTCTATCTGTAGCAGAAAGACACAGATTTACAATTGTCATGAGTTTTAGTCTGTGACAAGAGAGGCCCTGGAAGAAAGCTTGGCAGTCAAGATAGAGCTGAGCTTATGTATAGAAGAAGATTCCAGATAACTGCAATTCAGCCTAAGAAGAGCATGCAGACATTTCTAATGTGACAAATAATTAGCACAGCTCCTCATCTGAAGCATGTAACCACAGTATTCATCCAAGTATGTCAAACTGAAGCTTGTTTCTCAGACTCTAACTGAAGTGAGGTCAGTGGGCCACAGTGGCCAGGAATTAGGAGGATCGAGTCAGGTATAATCAAGACCTCATGTCTACTACAAGAGAAAACTGGCAAAAGGCAACAAACAGGAACAAGCAAAGCCCTCCTCAGGCCAAGGACCCTGGGGGAGTCCTTGGTGGCATCCAAACCATATGCAGCAGACCTAGGTTGCCCCCAGCAGCACAGTTACCACCGCTTACTGATTAATGTCATTTTTTCTTTTTTTTTTTTTTTAAGATTTAATTTATTTATTCATGAGAGAGGCAGAGAGAAAGAGAGAGGCAGAGGGAGAAGCAGGCTCCATGCAGGGAGCCCAATGCGGGACTCGATCCCTGGTCTCCAGGATCACACCCTGAGCTGAAGACAGATGCTCAACCACTGAGCCACCCAGGTGTCCCACAGTCATTGTTTTAATCACCATAATGAATGGTCCAATTCTATTCAGCACATCGGTGCAGAAGACAGAAAGCAGAGTTAAAACTCAAAACTCAACACAGTCATTTTTAAACACTTTCAGAAATTGGGAAAGAAACTGCAGGTTTCTCCATGCTGTGGTACCTGGAGGCTAATGGAACAACTGGAGGTAGACCTTCCTCCTTCCCTGCAGATCTTCCATACCTAGATAAAAAGCAGGACTCACACTCACAAACTCAATACACCCACGTGTGCCTGCCCTCAAACATACACACACACACCCCACTGGCAAAGTGACTCCTAAACACAAGACTCCAGAAACCCGTAACTAACACCATACTTAATGAAGAGAAACTGAAAACTCTTCCTCTAAGATCAGGAACAAGACAAGGATGTCTACTCTCACCACTTTTATTCAATATAGTACTGGATGTGTTAGAGCATTCAGACAAGACATAAAAGACATCCAAATTGATCCAACTGATCCATCCAAATTGATAAGAAGTAGAACTTTTACCATTGACAGATGATGTGACGCTATAAAAAAAAAAAAAAAACCCTAAAGACTCCACCAAAAAAAAAAAAAAAAGATTAAAATAAATGAATTCAGTAAAGCCCTATGTGGTGCTCGATCCCGTTACGGGATCACGACCTGAGCCAAAGGCAGACACTCAACCACTGAGCCACCCAGGCACCCGTAGCAACATTTTTCTAAATATGTCTCCTCAGTCAAGGGAAACAAAAGCAACAATAAATTATTGGGACTATACCAAAATAAAAAGCTTTTGTGTGGCAAAAGAAACCATCAGAAAATTGAAAAGGCAACCTACTGAATGGGAAAAGGTATTCTGCAAGTGATATATCCAAAAAGGGATTAGTATCCAATATCATGTAAAACTTAGGCAACACCAAAACAAAATACTTTGATTTAAAACTGGGCAGAGGATTGAATAGACATTTTTTCCAAAGAAGAAATATAGGTGGCTAACAGGCATGAAAAGATGCTCAACATCACTGATCATCGGGGAAATGCACATCAAAAGCACAATTAGATGGCTCTCAGAATGGCCACTGAAAAGACTGACAGCCCAGCAGAAAATGGGTTTCTGAGAAGCAAAGGGAGGAACAGTCGGTCACAGAGAAAACACAGTAACTTTTATGAAATAAACTAGCATGCTTCTAATGATTTCTCCCCAAAAGCATCTAAGACCTAGGAGCAGAGGACACTGTTACCTACACCAACGAATCACAATAATGGGGGGAAAACCAGGACAAAGACTCAAGGTGGAAGACATTCTAAAATATTCAACTGACCAGGGAATAAGAAAGACAAGAAGCCTGGGAAAGGATACTTCTGAAGAGTAGAAAATATTTTTTTAAATACAAAACATCTTATAAAGTATTTAGTAACATAAAAACTATGAAACATGACTACAAGACTGAATAAGCAGCTATTCATTAATCCCTTCTCTTCTACTCATTCTAACATCTTCGGAGACCATCTAAGATAGAACATATTGGGCACCAAAGGTTAAAAAAAAAGTCATACATTAGGGCAAGAGAAAAAAACCACAATACTAAGAAAATGGCTTTAATAAATTTAGAAATGTTCACAATGATAACACATCTTTTTTTTTTTTTTTTTGAGAGAGAGAGAGAGAGAGAAACAGCATGCATGCGAGCAGGACGTAGGGACAGAGGAAGAGGGAAAGAGAACCTTCAGGAGGCTCCACACCCAGTTCGGGGCTCAATCCCAGGACAATGAGATCATGACCTGAGCTTAACTGACGGAGCCACCCAGGCACCACTGACTATTTCTATTGACATAAAAATCATCTAGAAAACAAATATTTATGTCATGTGAAAACATCTGAGGCACGCTGGCTTTCAAGCTTTTGATGTTTAGATGGTAAGGAGGGGGGAGGAAATAACAGAGGATTACTTTGTAAGAAATGAACAAAGAACAGAAAGATGATGCTCATCATAGGTAAGTGGGTGCTGATAGAGTAACTGGGAAGCAATCCATTCTCCATATGCATTTTTTCTAATTACAAGAATTTTAAATATACAAAACTAACGGTACACAAACCAATGCTGTTAACACCAATGCACCCAAGTACCCAGTGTTAATTGATAATAACATTTATGTATGGTTGTTTTAGAGTTTAAGACATGAAATGCCATATATATAGCTAAAGCCCAACTATCCTAAGCCATCCCTTGCTCCTCTTCCCCTCCCCAGGCGTGAGCCTTGTCCTGAAGTCAGGACCAGAACATAATCACTACAGCTGTGAATCACATACAATATTCCTCCACAGAGCTTAATCTCTTTGTTTTGTTTCTAAAGAGAACTTCATGACCTTTTATATGAATATTCTAAGTAAATATAAGATGTTCTTTATCACTTGTTCTCAAGTAGATGTCTATATTGTGATGAAATCTGTAATGGATAAATTCTAAGAAAGATCTTTGATTTCAAGGTTACCCAAAAGCAATTTTGTTCCTACCTAGAGTTCCAACTACAGAAAAGAAAATCAAATGGTTAACCCTCCTCATCAAATATTTATTAAATGTCTTCTCTGTACAGGGTTTGGGGGAAAAAAAATGCTAAAGAGAGGTCATTGGGCTAGCAGCATGAGCATCACACCCAACTTCAGACCTGTGGAATTGGTCTTCCCGTTAGCATGATCTCCAGATGACACACCTGCACACTGAAGTTTCAGAAGTACTGGTTTGAAGAATTCAGAAAGGTGACAACATAGACCAAGGCAGAGCGAAATCTAACCACCATTCTGCCAAACTCACCCTCTTCCTATCAGACAATATGGCTCTGGGGACTTCTCTCTGCAAAGTCCATGCATCATCAGTCCCATTAGACTGGTGGCTATCAACCAAGGCAGACTGTGCCTCCCAGGGGACACTTGGCAATGTCTGGAAACATTTTTGTTGCAACCCAGGGTGACAGGTGCTAGTGGCATCTAGTAAATTGAAACCAGGCTGTTAAACATCCAACAATGCAGAAGGCAGTCCTCCACAACAAATAATTACCTGGCCGAAAGTATCAACAGTGCAAAGGTTTTAAAAAAAAAAAGGGGGGGGGGGGGTGGTCAGCCCCAGTGGCTCAGTGGTTTAGCGCCGCCTTCAGCCCAGGGTGTGATCCTGGAGACCTGGGATTGAGTCCCACATCAGGCTCCCTGCAGGGAGCCTGCTTCTCCCTCTGCCTGGGTCTCTGCCTCTTTCTCTCTGTGTCTCTCATGAATAAAAAAAATCCTAGAAAAAAAAACACCTAAAACAAAAACACTGCCTTGATTTTCTGACTAAAATAATTGTTAACTTCAGTAATTTAATGAACTGACTTGAGCATCTGTATTCATGGAGGGAAAAAATAAACCAGTAACTATGAACACTTTATATCCAACATTCTGAAGGGTGTAAGGTTCCCTTAAGAGTTCACACGAGAGGCACCTGGGTGGTTCAATCAGTTAAGGATCTGCCTTCGGTTCAAGTCTTGATCCCAGGGGCCTGGGACAGAGCCCTGTGTAGGGCTCCATGCTCAGCCGGAGCCTGCTTTTCCCTCTCCCTCCGTCCACCCTGCCCCCACCCCGCCACTCATACTCTCACTCTCTCAATAAAATCTTAAAAAAAAAAAAAAGTTCACACCAAATCAATAATTATTAACATTGATAACCAAGACCAATACGGTAAAACAACAAAGGTCCATGTTGTAATATTACATAATTATACATGCTCAATTTTATAATACGTTGCTGCCATACATAGTTGTCTAATAAAAACATTCTGGCATTCACTTAATTCTTCACTTTCTCTTTCCATACAGGATTATTAGTGAAGAACCTCTATGGCCACTTCAAGATGACAAGCACACATTGGACTAAATTGCTTCACTGAACGGAAGCTTCCTATTATACAAAAAAAAAAAAAAGGTAATTTTAAAAACTCTCTAATATTATCAAGAGCTTTGTTAATTTCACCAACATTAAGAATGAATAATACCTCTTCTCCAGAGAAAGTAGTGCCATATAAGGTCTGAGGGCTGTGGTACTTTAACTGTTTCTAAAGTAGAGAGGATTAAATAATATAACCTCCAGGTGTTCTCTTTAGGAAGAATTTAGTTGATATAGGCCATACAAAGCAATGGTCACTCCAGAAACATTCACCTTAATAAAAACACGCTTAGTCAGCTTGAGGCTCATTACTCATCTTTGCGTACCAATACACACTGACCTCTATTTCTCTTACATATGGACCATTTTCTTCCACTGTGCTATCTCTCATCTTTAATAGGCTGGACAAGCTGCTTAGAAATAGTGAACCAGGGACGCCTGGGTGGCTCAGCGGTTGAGCGTCTGCCTTTGGCTCAGGGTGTGACCCCGTTCGGCGATCAAGTCCCACGTCAGGCTCCCTACGTGGAGCCTGCTTCTCCCTCTGCCTGTGTCTCTGCCTCTCCTCTCTCTGTGTCTCTCATGAATCAATAAATAAAATTTTAAAAAGAGAGAGAGAGAGAAATAGTGAACCAAACAAGACCCTGGGACAGAAAAGAGAGAGTAGTTGGACCACACCAAGACATTCTTCGTTTTCTGATTCACTTGGTTCTCATTTTTTCTATCATTGTATAAAACGAGCATCAATAGGTGACTATTTGACTATGATCTGAAGTCTCAGGAAGCTTCATCAGGACGTCATATCATCTGTACACGAAAGATAAGGAGACCGGGCATATGTTACAAGATTTGTTAGGATCTTGTTCTGTTTCTCATTCCTACCTTTTGGTCTCAATATATAATTGTCCTCACTTTCTGTAAATGCCTCAAGATAGCTCCATATTCATACATCTCTCAATTTATCACTGCATAAAAGCCTGCCACACTCTGAGACACCAAGTACAGTAAAACATGTACTAGAGGACACAATGCCCTATCACAAATACCACTGCTAAGGAAAAGAAATATTTAAGAGCTTAAAAACTAATACCAGAATTGTCTTGGGCCTACTTTTAGCTCATTCCTCATGTAAGTTGTCCTTTTAATTTGTCTCTACTGTGTCTAACCAAATAACAATGCAAATGACAGTGATACCCTGGCTCTTTCCCCAAGCAGCGTAAGTCAAACCTTCTTAACCTAAAACAGAGACTCTTACCTGCGACTGCTTCAAAATAGGCCAAAAAAGCAACAAGGTGTTTGAGGAGAAAACCCCAAGGAAGCCTTTGGTATTCATTCCATTTCAGAAGGCTCTTTTGCTCTAGAAGTTTACCTGGACCCATCACCACACCCTCCATCAACCTCAAAGACAGGGAAAGGAGCAAGGAGGCGATAATGCACATCACCAGGGCCATGTATGCTTACATTCTCAACATTTTCAGGATTCTGATAACACAGTTCTGGACCCATGACATCAGGCTCTCAGGAGAGAAGACAAATTATTTAGGAGACACACTCTTTGCCACAGTGGACGTTTGAAAACAGAAAACATGGCCCATTTGCTTCCTATCTAAAATTTGAATCAGCTTACAAAAAAGCAAATGACTACGATCTATTATGATCAGAGCCAAGTGTACAAGTAGTAAGATTTCCTTCCAAAGGAAGTGCAGGGAATGGCAAAATCAGATGGCTAGAAATATTTCCAAGCTTTGCCATATGGCACGAAGAAAAGTACACAGAAGCAAGGTGTTCTTGAGTTGGAAGTAGCACACGAAGTTTGCACATATGATTATTTGGAATATGACTGAATTTTATATCCCACATTTCCAAATTTGACTTTCTCACACTTCCTTCATTGTACTAACATAGCCATTCACTCACTGTGTATGAAACACTGCACTTGGCAGCAGGAGTACAAAAATGAACAAGATACGTTCTCTGATCTCAAGGGAACCATTATACTTCACAATCACTCTTTCCTATGATGCCTGACTACCTGTAAATTTCTCAAGAACAAGGATTCGTGTCTTGAAGTCCCAGATTGTATGTCCTTTTATTTCTCAAATAGTTTAACTATCTAATGTTCTTAATTTAATCCTACTAATATAACAGTTAAAAAAAAAAGACATGATCTATCTATGAAGGGGCTTACTACAGAAGAAAACAAAAAAATGGACAAGGAGGTTGAGTGTTCTAACAGGAGAAAGGCACAAAATTAGGAGGACACATACAGAAGGACCTCATACCCAACCAACTCCAACAAAAGGGTAGGATGGTCAAGTTTTCTAAAGGAAATGATATCCATCCTGAGCTTCAAGGATGAAGAGAAGTTAATGAGCCAAGAGGTTAGTAAAAAGACTTTCCACACAAATGAAAGTTTGTGCAAAGGTCCAAGGTGAGAGAAATCATGGAACCTACCAAGGGGAAGATGGGTTGAGGAACTCATGACTGAGGATGGAGGGAGCAGGGATCAGATCAAGAAGGGACTTTGGCACTGAAGAGTCAGAACTTTATCCTGAGGCCAAGGAATGACCAGTGAACAGTATCGAGTAGGATGCTGGTATTACATAAAAGAAGGACAGTGAACATTAGTTTTGACATATCCAATAATCTTTCAAAGAAGCTCTAATCTTCCCTGTGCTCTAAATCAGTATGTCTGACATCAGAGAAAAATATACAGGATTCTCTAATAAAAGAAGGTTTGGGTTAATACCTAAGACAGTGTTGGCCAATAAAAATATGAAGCAAGCTACATATGTAATTTTAAATTTTCTAGTAGTTATATTCTTAAAAAAGTAAAATTACATGAAAATAAGAATGTATTTTATTTAATGGAATACTTTTTTTTAATGAGGTGTTAACCTTTTTTTTTTTAAAGATTTATTTATTCATGAGACAGAGAGAGAGAGAGAGAGAGGCGCAGAGACACGGGCAGAGGGAGAGGCAGGCTCCCTGTGGGGAGCCTGATGTGGGACTCGATCTCAGGATCCCTGGATCACGCCCTGAGCTGAAGGCAGATGCTCAACCACTGAGCCACCTGGCGTCCCTAATCACATATTTCTGATATTACTTCAATATGTAATCAATATTAAAAATACTGAGATTTTAATTTTTTTGTCTTAAGTCTATGAAATTCAGTGTGCGTTTTACACTTCCATCACATCTCAATCTGGACTGGCCACATTATGTGCTCTATAGCCACATACAGCTAGTGGCAACCATATAAGAGCAGATCTAGAATGTACTTTGCAATTTTTTTGTTTGAAATTTTTAAGGTACATTTATCATTTGTATTCATCTTCTACTTCATAAAAATAACACAAATCCAAATTTCTCAATGGCAAAAATAACACAGAAAAACTCCATTATGGATGATACTCATAATCCCATACTGACAATACCAGCTACATTTGGGTGGATCTGCTTGTAAGACACTGTCCTATGTCCAAAATATACATAAGTTAGGCTTTTAAAAAGTAAGGTCTGTCAAGAGCTCTTAAACTTACTATATGAAACCGAGTTCTAAATAAAATGAAACATTCTCTGTTTTTACAGTTTCATTACTTTTTGAGACCATATTTAAATGAATATGTGGAGTTTATTCATATTTAAAATTGGGAGTTTTTTAAAAAGGAACTGTTATTATTTTAGGAAAACATTGATCCCACTCCCAACTGCCCTGCTCCCATTTTTCTTTCCTGTCATCTGTCCTACTCTTCCCTTTTCAAGAGGAAGGGAGAGAGGGAGGGAGGAAGGGGTATCCAACTAATATAGAGCTAACACCTAATTTCAAGAACAAGGCAGGTTTGACTATATCCACTGGCCTTTGTGTTATTATTCGACAAATTATTCACTAGATGCCCTTGTGCCCTTTGAGTGACTACCTAACATTGCTTCCCAGGCCTCCCCTCCGGAAGGTACAAGATGACCAATTCCAGCACCACACAGCCTCCAGAGGAGTCCTGCTCGCGGAACACCGTCATAACTCAGCAGATCGTTCCTGTGCTGTACCTCGTGGTCTTCGTCGCGGGGATCCTGCTCAATGGTGTATCTGGATGGATATTCTTTTACGTGCCAAGCTCCAAGAGTTTCATCGTCTATCTCAAGAACATTGTTGTTGCTGACTTTCTGATGAGCCTGACTTTTCCCTTCAAGATTCTGGCCGATTCGGGCCTGGGGCCCTGGCAGATCCACGTGTTTGTGTGCAGGGTCTCCGCTGTGCTCTTCTACGTCAACATGTATGTCAGCATCGTGTTCTTTGGCTTCATCAGCTTTGACAGATACTATAAAATCGTGAAGCCTCTTTTGACTTCTTTCATCCATTCCGTCAATTACAGCAAACTCCTGTCAGTGATGGTGTGGGTGCTCATGCTCCTGCTGGCTGTCCCCAACATCATCCTGACCAACCAGAACGTGAGCAACGTGAAGGTTACACGCATAAAATGCGTGACACTTAAAAACGAACTGGGACTAAAGTGGCATAAAGCCTCAAACTACATCTTTGTGGGCATCTTCTGGGTTGTGTTTTTTTTGTTGATCTTTTTCTACACTGCTATCACGAGGAAAATCTTCAAGTCCCACCTTAAGTCCAGAAGGAATTCCATTTCGGTCAAGAGGAAATCTAGCCGCAATATATTCAGCATCATGTTTGTATTTTTTGTCTGTTTTGTACCTTACCACACTGCAAGAATCCCCTACACGCAGAGCCAAACAGAAGCTCATTACAGCTGCCGATCAAAAGAAATTTTGCTCTATGTAAAAGAATTCACTCTGCTCTTGTCGGCTGCAAACGTATGCCTAGATCCTATTATTTATTTCTTCCTATGCCAGCCCTTTAGAGAAACCTTATGTAAGAAACTGCATATCCCTTTCAAACCTCAACATGACTCAGAAACATCCAAAACCAAAAGAGAAAATACGACGCATGAAAGCACAGACACACTGTGAATTCCCACCTCCTTTCAAACAAAATCCATGTACACGTATTTGCAATCTTCAGCTACAGAAGAAGAAGAAACATGTCCATGCTGATAAGTATCATCGCTAGGCATTACAATCCAATTCAGTTAATAAACACAAAATAGAAGTTTCCTTGCTTTTTTGTAATATCAGAGAAAAAAGTAATACATGCATTACTCCATTTTGTTCCATCAACAAAGATGATTTAAATCACTAGCCTGGTCAGTTAATGTAGAAATTTAAATAGCATAAAGAAAATAGGAAGCAAGCAAGGCAATTCACTGGGGCATCTTCCTTCTCTAAAACACAAAAATTAAGTTATATGATTTTCTTTCAGCAGGGTCACCAAAGACCAACTTAAGACAGGCACAGTCTGATTAAAGAACTAGAGATCTGTTTGTAGTGAAACAAGTTTTTTCTGATTTGAAGAAGATAAGCAGACACCAAGAAAATTACTTAAGAAATCCCCTATGACTTATCGTCATGGCATTTCAAAGGAAAGTTGATAGAAATTCTGTTCTTTACAGAAAAACAGTAATATTTTTTTCTGATAGCATTTTGAGGTTAATATAAGATACATTTTAAGTATGTTTTATAGGAAGACTTATTAATCTACTTAATAAGCCTGGAGTTCTGGTGTTAAAATATTTTTAAGTGGACTCTATTGAAGGAAGCTAGATATTGGTATGCGCTGCCAGCAACCTTCCCTGTTCAATGGTATGGGGGGAAAAAGGCTGATTGGGACAAAGACACACACATACACACATCTAGGAGCAGCGGAAGCAGTTTTCTTGGAAAGCAACCGGTACTTGGAAAAAGTAAAATCTGAGATTTACAATTATGAGTGAAAAATTACACATAAAATGAAAATTTACAGATCACATTTTTGGAAAAGCAGATGAATTTAAAATGTGCAGATATGGAATATGGTTGCTGGCTTGTGAGTTATTGACTGGCCAGAAGACATCCAGGCCACCTTCTAAAAGTTCTTCTCAAACATTTTTTAAGTCACGTGTATGTACTTTTTTCCTTTACTGCATATGTACTAATAAAGAAATTATTTTCAATACTGTTCAGTTTTTCTTTCCTAAAATTCAAGGTAGGAAAAAAATAATAGTAAATTTCTTCACCATCAAGACACGTGTAGTTTCTTTAATAAGCTCAATTATGCATAAAGGAAGGAAGACAGTTACGCAAAGTGTTCAAAAGTTTTATTTGCCACAGACTTTCCCAAAATAAGTATTTCATATGCTCTTGGAACTCATCAGATTTTAGGAAAAACTTGGAAAATACATCTTAAATTGAAGAAGAGCTGGGAAGGTATTCACTGTCCAGCTTCTACCCTTGTAGAAACTCCCCGCTCTCCACTCTGAGTCAAATATCCTCTCTCAAAAAGAACAAAATCACCAAGCTATGATAAACATACTTGACAAAACTAAGGTTGCCATATATGTTTGGCTAAATACATCTGCAAAAGAAACTGGCTGTGCTTATTCTTCACAATTTCCACTGGCCAGGGCAAATTAGTAAATACTGGTATTTTACATGCCCCCCACCCACCCTGAGCCATGAGAGAAAACGAAACTAAAAAAAAATGAGAAGCGCCAAATAATGTCTTTGTAACCAATGTGAAGCAGATGGGTAATGTGAAAATCAAGATTTTTTTCAGGAAACAACGTGCAAGCCAGGTAAGAATACTGTAAAAAGCAACATTTGATTAACCGTTACTGCATATCAAGTCCAGAACTACAAAAAAAAAAAAAAAAAAAAGTAGAGTAGTGGCAACAGTGAATTAATCCAGAAACTTCCCTGAGACTACCAGTACTAATTTTTTAAATTATGTTATGGAATAATTTTGTTTCTGTAGCTAGTTCATAATATGGTTTCTATAATACATATTTACCTCAGAGACAGTAAAATAACACTTAACCATATTGTATAGAAGCAGTGCGATGAAAGGAGTAGAGTATTTTAGGAAGTGACATATGGGTAAGGAAAGCCTCGCTGTTAAAGTGGTTCTTTTGTGGGGATGTCCTGTCATGGAAAGATAATTTGCATGTCACTGGTTATCTGGCAGAGAAATGGTGAGCAAAAGGGAGTAACAGCTTTTACCGTTGAAGACCACACCACACCAGTTCTCTCCTAACCCCACCCCCCACAAACCTCACAGTGTGGTTTACCCAGAAGGAAGTCTCCTGTCATTCTGGGGGGATGGTCTGATGTCACAGATATTTTCTCTATTAATAAAGATACTATTTCTCTTCTTATTTTTGTCCAGAGTCAAAGGGTATAAATAAGAGCAATGAGGTTAGGGACAGAATAGAAAGGGAATGGCACATACTTTACTACCCTCATTGAGGAGAAACAGAACTTAGTGTAAGGGTGTTTTCTAGAATTTCCAGGTTAATCTTCCAGGTGAAGCCAATGTATCAGAATTGTTTAATTTTCAGGTAACAAAAAAAAATACAACTAAAATTGCAATGAAAAGAGATTTACGGGCTGACAGACCTAAATGTTCCAAGTCGTAGGTATGGCTTAATTTAAGGGCTGATATAGGGCCTCAGCTGATGTAAGGCAAGCTGAGTTTGTACAATTTTTCCAGCCACCTTTCATGATAGTAGTTTCCGCTCATAGGAAGCTGTGGATTCTCTTTTCATGGTAGCAAAAAGAAAGCAGCACTTCCAGACCTTAAATCTTCACAGTCAAGTCTTCCAGAGAATGTCTTCAGAAACCGGGAACTCAGATCTCACTGGGTCATCTGGTCTCATGTTGCATCTCAACCTGTGCCCAGCAGACTCGGACATGCTGGTTGCCAATTATGGCCTGACCCTGGTATTAGAGGCAGACTGGGCACCGTGAGAGCCTAATGGACAAGAACCAGGGAAACTGAATTTCTCAAAGGGAGAGTCTCATTTTTACAGCTGGGAAAAGAGTATGGAGGCTGCTGGGCAGATAACCTAAATATGAGCAGCACTCGCTGCAGGCTGTCTTTGTAAACAACCACTGTGAGATTCATGCATCTCAGTGGGCGGTCCATGTGTAATCTTGTAGGATTATGATCTCTGTGTTTCTTGATTCTTATCACAACTGTTTCTTTTATTTAAAAAAAAAAAAAAGCAACTACTTTACAATATTCCATATAGGTAGCTGAGTCAATTACCCTTCAAAATGGAATCACAGTTTGGTTAAAATGCAAGAATTTCTATTTATGAGGGACTTCTAGTCATAGTAAAGAGCCCCCTTTTGAACACCTTCCTATTAGATTTCTGCAGTCCACACGTTGCAAAGCAGCTAGTGGCATATGCTATTCTATTCACAAGGCATGTTTCTTTCTTTTCATCGTTGCCCCAACTATTAAAAACATGGGGAAACAACTGGCTGTAGCTAAGGGCCTGCCGGCCTCACTTGGGGAAGCAGCAGCCCTCAACTCACTATTACCCCCAGCTTTTCTTGTTTTCTATTGTTTCTTACAACCGTGCATATCATGCCTTCTTTTCCACCATAGGCACCTGAGTTTATAAGCCACCCAGGGTACTCTGAGCACTTTAGAACTTGCACTACAGCTTTCTCTACAGAAGGACCTGGAAAGGACCTGGAAAGGGGCCCCGGGTGGCTCAGTCAGTTAAGCGTCTGCCTTCAGTTCACATCTTGATCCCAGGATCCTGGGATCAAGCCTGTCAGGCTTCCTTGCTTCACACATAGCCTGCTTCTTCCTCTCCCTCCGCTACTCCCCCCACTTGTGCTCTCTCTCAAATAAAAAATGAAATCTTAAAAAATAAAAATAAAAATAAAAATAAAAAAAAGCAGGACCTGGAAAACTTCCTTTTTCCCAGGTGCACTCCAATGCAGTTTCAGGGTTGACAGAAAATAGAAGAAGCTATGTCATTTCTATCTCTCCCACCCACAACAGAAGTGGGAGTACAAGCACGAAAAGACGTGCTATAGAAATAAACCCATCTCAACAACAATAAAATATTTGAAAAGTATTTTCACTGACGAAGACTACTTGCTACTTTTTGAATGCACTGCATTGTGTAAGTCTGACTTCGCCCATGGTCATAGTTAAGATTTCCTCCATGACCCACCACAACCCACTTCCCGAATGAATGAATGAATGAATGAATGAATAAATAAAATCGGAAAAATAAAAATAAAATAAAAAAATAAAAAACCCACTTCCCAAAATTTATCTTCACTCCTTTAGGGACCTGAAATAGAAGACTCTGGACCCAGGATCATCTTGTTCTATTTCCAGTCCCCAGATGTCACCAGCCGCAACCCACATGGTGTTAGTAAGCCAGTGGAAGGCCAGAGTTATACTACTTCCTGCTTCCCTCCCAAATCCTAGGTTACTGGTATAACTGCTAAATCTTCCTCCAAAGAGCATGATAAAGACCTACGGGCTGACTTTCCTATCATTCCATCTCCTGACATAAAAGGACACTGAAATGTGGTTCTCATCATCTACACACAATACTTCACAACACTACTTAAAAATAATTGCATAACCTCTTTTCCAAACTAAACGATTCTCTACATTTAACTGGGAGCTTTTTCAAGCTGTTAATTATTTACTTTCTACTTCTTACACCATAGCTTTCTAAAGGAGCACTAGCTCTGATATTTACTGACTAAAATGAGAAGTTAAGCCTCATTTTGTTTGTAAATGAAATGCCAATTTCAACTCCTTATTAAATTCATCTCCTAGTTAAAAAAAAAAAAGGCCACTATTAAAAAGAAAAAAAAAAAACTTGCAATGCCATGACCAAATGTATTTTCTTATCTGGTTGATACTATGAAAGTACTTAGGCAAATTAAAAGGGAAAATGATATTTTTTTAATAGGGAAACCAGGACTTCCACCAATGCTATTTAAAATAAGTGTTTACAAAGTTACATTCAGAATATTCTCATTATTGCACAGAGAAAAGAATCATCAACAAAACCAAAGGCAATCTACTGAATGGGAGAAGATATTTGCAAACAATGTGTGCAAAAAACAATTAGTATTCAAATATATATATATATAAAGAGCTTATAAAACTCAACACTAGAGGGCAGCCCGGGTGGCTCAGCAGTTTAGCACTGCTTTTGGCCCAGGGCATGATCCTGGAGTCCTGGGATGGAGTCCCCCATTGGGCTCCCTGCATGGAGCCTGCTTCTCCCTCTGCCTGTGTCTCTGCCCCTCTCTCTCTCTCTGTGTGTGTCTATGAATAAATAAGTAAAATCTAAAAAAAAAAAAAAAAAAAAAAAAAACTATTAAAAAAAAAAACCTCAACACTAGAAAAACAAAGAATATGAAATGGGGAGAGGATTGAACAGATATTTTTCCAAAGAAGACCTACAGATGGCCAACAGACACATGTTCAACATCCCTCCTCATCAGGGAAATGCAAATCAAAACCACTAGAGCATATGACCCTACACCTGTCAGAACAGCTACTGTAGAGAAGAAATAACAAGCACCGGCAATGACATGGAGAAAAAGGAACACTTGTGCACCGGCGATGCAGCCAAACTGTGAAAAACGGTACAGAAGTTCCTTAAAAAATTAAAAATAGGGATCCCTGGGTGGCTCAGCGGTTTAGTGCTAGCCTTGGGTCCAGGGCGTGACCCTGGAGTCCCGGTATCAAGTCCCACAACGGTCTCCCTGCATGGAGCCTGCTTCTCCCTCTGCCTGTGTGTCTGCCTCTCTAACAAATAAACAAAATCTTTAAAGAAAAGAAAAATTAAAAATGGAGGAGGCACCTGGGTGGCTCCATCAGTTAAGCATTCAACTCTTCCTATGTCTCAGGTCATGATCTCAGGGTCGTCCTCTAGCTCTCTCTCTCTCTCAGTAAAATAAATCTTTAAAAGAATATTAAAAATAGAAATACCATATGATCCAGTCATTCCAGTCCTGGGCACTTACTCAAAGAAAATGAAAACACTCATTTGAAAAGGTATATATGCGGGACGCCTGAGTGGCTCAGCGGTTGAGCACCTGCCTTCTGCTCAGGGTGTGATCCTGGAGTCCTGGGATCGAATCCCACATGCGGCTTCCTGGGGGGAGCCTGCTTCCTCCTCTGCTTGTGTCTCTGTCTCTCTGTGTCTCTCCTATAAATAAATTAATTAAAAAAAAAAGAAAGAAAAGGTATGCATGCACCCTGTGCTTACTGCAGCATTATCTGCATAAGCCAAGTAGAAAGCAACCCAAGTGTACACCCACAGATGGTTACACTGACACCTTCTAAACAGTAACAGAAATATTCTCCAGCTGGGAGCTAAGGAGCCAGCTTACAATCAATAAACGTGTTAAAATATTCCTAAAATACTTGGCCAAAACACAAAGCCCTGCATGGCAAAGGACAGGGTTAATTTCTCCAGAGAACCTTCTCCTACAAAGTAGCAACAGACTTCCTAACTCTATCCTGAGCTTTGAACATGTGTTACTCACCACTTCTTGAGAAATGGACCATAACCATTCAAGAGGAAAATATATATATATGAACTTTAGTGACTAAAAAGAAACAAGATAACCTTTAAAAGTTCTTTCTTAGGGATTTCCCGAATTATTTCATAGCCATCAATCAAACAGCACAGTTAGATCTCACAACTGAAAGGTAAAATGAACTGCATGTTGACCCAGTAACACTGTACAGTCAATAAAAGGGCAGAAAAGCAAAAGGACAGGCAAGGGGAATGAATATACTCGGCCACTCTTACAATCGAGTTCACATTCCAAGGATACACAAAAACACTTTTGCCTTCAAAACATATCCACCTTTTTACTCCCTGTTTCACTAAAAAGGGAAAACTGAGACAGTGTTTAAGTGATGCCAAAAAAGCGACATCCTGGAAGCTCTCATATCTGTGCCTCACTTTAAAAGTACTCTTGTCTAATCACACCTGTCGCTCTCAGATCTGAAGCTACCAGTCTCAGAGAGTCAGGGGGAAAAAGTCTTTGGATTAATCCAGGTGGGGAAAAGGGATGATGCGCTTTTAAAATTTTTCAAAATGTGAACACCTAAAACACAGTGGTCCCAGGGAAACGGCAGACAAAAAGCCACACACACACACACACACACACACACACACAGCTGGAGAACTGTCTTGATCACCAGCATTTCTTAACCAAGGAATAGCTCCCTACCCAAAGATCATTAAAAAAAAAAAAAAAAAAGCTTCAGGATGCAAACTATTTTGAGTTGGGAGCATCCTGAGTTGCCAACTAGGTGAGAAGCGTGGGCATAGTAGCACACGGTTCCCCTGCTCCGGGCACTGGAATTCAAACAAAGGCAGGGCAGTAGGGCAGGGGGTGGCTGGGTGGACCGGCTGGCCTCCTCGCAACTCCTCTTTCCACCTACCACTTCCATTTTAAGCAGCATAATGAAGTGGCAGGTCACTGTAGTCCAACTGTGCAGCTTTGGACAAGACCTCAGTCTCCCCATTTGTAAAGAGAGGACTCTAACATCGTGTGGATTTCCTTAAAGAAAATGAGTTCTCCAGACCCACATCTGGCTGTGGCACTGGCTACCTACTCCAAAATTCATTTTCCCATGCCTTACTAGCTCTGAAGGGCTACTGTGCTCTTTAAAAAAACAAATTTTAAAAATGTTAAACATAAAAAAAAATGACACTTCTACTGAAATACTGTTTGGTATTTGTGTTCAACAAAAACAAAAGGAGGATTTGTGTGCACAGAAGATTTAACTACAGTAAGGTTTTGTCAATTCACAGGGCAATTTTGCTTCAATTTTTACTAAAAACAAGCAAAATATCCATTAAAGTAACAAGTACATCATTTCTTTAGAAGCATTGCCATGACCAAGGTAAAGGAAAAACAACTTCACCTCACTTCTTCCCATTTGGGTTTTTGAAATACTGTGTTAGTGATGACATGTAATTTCCCAGAACACTAACAGAATACACTCTGAAAAACATCTGTCCTTAATGAAACAGATAAAGATGTGACTTTTGGAAATTTCAAATGGAATTCGTGTTAAAAACAAAAACAGGGATAGTAACCCCCAAAAAGTATATTTTCACTCTGAGTAAACTTCCACAAACTATCAGATTGCCTTCAAGCTCATTCTCAAAAGGAAGAACATGGTTCAGTTTCACTATTAAAAGATTGGTTTCTCACTATTCCAAAACGGAAATGGAACACTGAGAATGAGGGTACTTCAGCTCTTTTATATCTGGCAATCCAGACACAAAAACTGTGGCTATGGTGGATTTTTTAAGAATATTTGAATGTACTTTTCTTAATTCTGTCTGGATAGACCCCCAAAGAGGACAAGGAAGTAAACATATAGATATGCCTACCTAAAAAAAAGAAAAAATAAACTATACTATCAAAAACCTTTCATTCCAGTTTTCCTGCAAATCATGTTAGAACCAACCATTTACCACTCAACGGGCAGCCAGCTCCATCTCACCAAACTCTCTCCATCCCACCCTCTCTGTTCCCTACCAAATATAAACCCCAAGCATAACTCCTCACTTACTTGACTACCTGTAAGTACATCATTTTGGGAGTGTATTTTTCACTGAGTCGTATCCAGCAACAATGAACACGAATCTTAAAGGATGGATCATTTCCTAGCACTGTTAGGATGTGCGTTAACACTGGTTCTTAACCAAAAATCAAACACAATGTTTAAGATTTGGGTTTTTTCATCTAATTTGTCAGTGAATATAGGTAAAAAAAGTCTTCTTTTTGCAAGATGATGATAGTAGCAGTAATAATAATAGTGAATATGGATAATAATTATTACCACATGAATTTGGGAGAACACCAGAATACCTGAAATAAATGGCCACTATCATCATAAGCAACCTTAGATTGTTTTTTGTTTTTTGTTTTTGTTTTTTTTTTTGTCAAAAGTTCTCTTAAACTCTCCCTAAATTCCCTTTAGCTTGACATCTCATCTAGTTTTTTGAGAGATTTTTTTCTTCTTAAAAGTCCAGTACCAAATGGATTCATTTTGGATTCTGGAGACGCTTTTTTTGTTTTTGTTTTTGTTTTTTTAATTATTATCTGGAAAACTGATTAAGAATTATCAGGAGAAAAAGAGATGAAACCTAAGCACCTACCCAACCAATGAAGCACCACTAGAAATAGGGCCCTAAATGACCTCAGGAAATGGTTTTGACCTCACAAATCAACTCTGGAGTAGAGCAGACTTAGGACTCCAGAAAATATGGTTAAGACATGAGCTCACATCCTCTTTCATAAAAGCTACTCTTATACAAGAAAGAAAATTTAACAAAGCCAACTGACGATGTGGATGAGCTACAGTGACTTTATTAGGTCCCTCACCATGCTGAGCTCCATTCGGACACTCAGTAAACACGTGCTCACCACAGGCAGAATGAGCATTAACCCAAACATTTTAAACACACGAGAAATACCCAGTAGAGGGTCCTTTTACATATAATCTATTAATTACTAAATACTTGTCTCAATTCCTTAAGCTATTTGAGCCAAATTGACAAATGCTCATGGCAGGCCTACTTAGAAAAATAGATCCAATATATCCTTGAATGAAAAAATTACAACTACACAATATATTGACATTTTAAGTGGGTGTGTTTACACATGGAAAAAATTTTAAATTTGTGCCAAAATCCATGTATGTGTCAACTTATGTACCAAAACTGTTAACAGTAATTATCTCTGTGCATATAATTTTCTTCTTGTTTCTACTTCCAAATTCTTCCACGATGAATATTAAAGATAAATAAAACATGAACTTTACCAGACTATGTAAAATCACATCTTTTGTTTTTATCGATAGATGTCTCAGCAGAATCCAAACTGTAACTGCTTTAATTATAACTTCAAAAGGGGGGTGTGTATCGGTATGTACACTAAAGAAATTTTGCTTAAAGACCTAATATATTTAACTCATAATCCTTTTTCAAGGCACAAGAAATGATGTTTTTTAAAATCATTATGAGGAAAATATATCTTGGATGCTTGAAAAAGAAGATGCTGGGTATTACAATGGACAATAAAATTTTTTCCTCTAAAAGAATACACAAATAAAAGCACACAAAAAATTGAACCTCTTGGGGAGACTTTCATACAGTTAAACTACTCAGAAACCACAGTTTCATCTACGTCAATATGCAACACTTTAAAACCACACAAAAAGGAAAGGAAATTTTTAGTATAGCCAACATTCATGCGATGGAGCTGCTATTGCTACTGCTACTGCTGAGGCCAGGCGGACAGCTCATGCTTTTCTGAAGACTTGCAGCAAGCCCACGGTGGCTCAGAGAATATACCCCCAGGTAGGTCCTCTTAAAGTACTTGATATATTCAAATATCTTTTGATGGAAGGGGAAGCTATGATGTTCAGTGTTTAAAACATGTAAATTGGAAATGCCAACGTGTAATAAGGCTGCTGTGTAAGAGGGCACCAATTATTAAACTTTAAGTAGATTCTTGCTATGAACTACACTATAATTTTCTTCTATCTGATGACCCCTTCCATCCCTCTCAATTAAAAAAAAATTTATACAAGACTGAACACTTATAGGTGAGCATAACTATTCAAGAACTCAATTTTATATTTTATAATAGGATGGATAAACACCCTGTTGTATTACAGCACGCCGCAACAGATCTTGAAATGACCTCCCACTGCAAACACTATGATAGGTAATTTCAAGGGTTTTTTTTCTTTTTAAGATTTTTTATTTATTCACAAGAGACACAGAGAGAGAGGCAGAGACACAGGCAGAGGGAGAAGCAGGCTCCCTGTAGGGAGCCTGATGTGGGACTCGATCTCAGGACCTCGGGATCACGACCTGAGCTAAAGGCAAAAGCTCAACCACTGAGCCACCCAGGCGTCCCTTTCAAGAACTTTCTATTGTGACTTTCATTAAAAAAATAATTAAAAAATAATAATTTTCTAAACAACGGACACTGTCCAAACAAGAGACACTTGAAATCTTTTCTTGATTTTTGCTGTAACACCTCTGAGTACCTCAAATTTCCACAGGCTAAAAAATTACTTGACAAAATATTTATCAAGCACTTGGTTTTCAAATTTGTGGGAGACGACACAGAATGCTATTATAGTATAATTCAACCTCTAATTGACATACCAAAAATTTTAAATGAAGAAACTTGTTTTTCATTGCAATCTAGACTGAGGTTCATGAAAAGTTAAGTGCGAGGCACTACAGGATTCTAAAGCATCAAATAGTTATGCTATAATTATTTTTAAATAAATTACCTATAAGTGGTACATATGGCCAGTTCTAGTTAGAATATTAATTGATCAAAACAAATCATTTTCTTTTTTTTATGATTTTACTTACTTATTCATGAGAGACACAGAGAGGGGCAGAGACACAAGCAGAGGGAGAAGCAGGCTCCCATCAGGGAGCCTGAAGCAGGACTCGATCCCAGGACCTCGGGATCATGACCTGAGCCAGGACCCCAGGATCACGAACTGAGTCAAAGGTAGACGCTCAACCACTGAGCCACCCAAGTGTCCCAAAACAAATAATTTTCTAATCCTCTTTACCATACACTCATCTATAAAATGAGACTTTATTGTTTAATTATATGAGCAAAAGGAGCACTTAAAAAAAAACACACACACACAGTATTATGTTAACTATTATCAAATAACATTTGAAATACAAGAACGTAAGGCAAAATCCTAACATCTGGTAAAGGAACAAAGAGCAAAGGTAGGACACAGAGACAAGGATCAGAGAAGAAAAGGATGGTCAGAAAGCCAAGGTTCAAATAAACGGTTACTACTGAAAAACAAATCCTAAGAAGTCAATGAAGCCTGGAGTAGACCTCAGACACAAAGGGCATATTCCAGGCATTTTAAGATAGGAGGGATTTAGATATAGAAAGGATAAGGGCAGAAGGCCTAGAAAATGATCAAAAGGGTCAGTCAGATGCTAGCCTGCTCTTAAAAGCTGGAAAATCTTGAGCAACATCCAAATGCCAGACTTCAGTCTTCTCAACTGATCTGAGACTTGGACAAGATGCTATCAGTAAAGGTTCCCTCCATCCTTAAAGTCCTATGATTCCCCAAATTTTATCACAAGCAGAAGTACAAAGGCAGGAAGGAGCAGCTCACACCAGAGTAGAGATACCACCAATCCAGGAACTGAGATAAAGACAGTAGGGCTGGTTTGAAGCAACTAGGTCACAGGAACTTTGAAAGTAGGGAGGTTTAGATTTAAAAGACAGAACCTAGATTTGGTTTTTAAACAGAACTATGGTAAAAGGAAACATCAAAATACTTGAAATCTGAACTTCTTTCATTAGTATTCAGAGGCAAACTTAAGAACTAATATATTTCTGCTCTCTTATATGAAAATTCCCTAGAATATCGCTCCTATCACATAGTAAGCACTTAGTAAGGCTGGCTGCTATAATAATAATGATCATCATCACCATCAGCATTATTACTATTATGGAGACAGAGTTCTAGAGTGCTTTTGAACATACCTTCTAAGATCTAAATGTCTGAGCTGGGATCCTGGCTCAGGATAATTTAACAACTATATAACCTTGGGTGTTCCTATATCATCTCGTTGCACCAGTTTTCTCATCTGCAAAGTAGGGATAGGAACATCTACATGGTAGGAATGATGAAAGGTTAAATAAGCACATGTAAAGTACTTAGCACAGTGCCAGAGTAAGTACTCAATTTTCACTGAGTTTTGTACAGAACAAATTATGCATGAACCATAAAGTCCTATCTCAAGTAGGGAAAGAAGAGGGAACGTGTATCCTTTTTTCAAGTAACACTTGAATTTATATTTATTCACGAGACACACAGAGAGAGAGGCAGAGACACAGGCAGAGGGAGAAGCAGGCTCCTAACAGGGAGCCTAATATGTGGGACTCAATCCCTGGACCCTAGGATCATGACCTGAGCCAAAGGCAGAAACTACCACTGAGCCATCCAGGTGCCCCTTAACACTTGAATTTATAACGTTTTATATACATCTGCTTTATCAATCTGCTTGTATTGTTCATCCCAAGGTGTACAGAGGGGATCATTAAATAATCTGGAGAATTAAGGATCAGAAAGGCTTCATAAATCTTTGTTGTTGGTTTACTTTTAAAGGGAGGTTTCTTTTTTTTTTTAAGATTCTATTTATTTATTCATGAGAGACACAGAGAGAGAGGCAGGGGAGAAGCAAGGTTCCTGGGGGAGCCCGATGTGAGACTCGATCCTGGGACCGCGGGATCACGACTCAACTGATGGGCCACTCAGGCGTCCCTAAAGGGTGGTTTCTGAGAATGGGCTTATTTGTCCTTTTTAGCCACTATACTTAAGATTTGCTATCTTTAAGAAGCATATATCAGGTTTTTTTCTGTAAAACACAAAATCTTCTGGTCTTTAAAACAAAAGGAATGTGTTTAATATGTATGAGGAGGGTGAACACCAAGAAGCAGCACCAGAAAGATGTACCTGTGGTCCTATGAGCATTAGTTTGAACCAAGTCAAAGAGAGCAAATGAAGCCCAACTGGTTTAACTTATACTTATGTCCCAGATTTGAAGGGAACATGACAGGATTATCAGTGTCAATCACAATGGTTCTAAAGATACGTCTTATACTTCTGGCCTTAACTGTCACAAAACCTACAGTGAAAGAAAATAAGTATTATAGTTAGATATTTTCGTACTAACACAACTGAGCTTCTGTTTGAGAATTTTGTAACCAATGATCATATATTCTCGTTCTAGAAGCCTTTAAAATACATTTGTGGTCAAATTTTGCAAAACCACTGACCTGACATAGAAACATCTATACAAGCGTCTTTTAACAGAAATACAACACAAACCACAAAGGCACTTTAAAATTATGCAGGAGCTGCCTTTGAAAAAGCAAAAAGAAACAGGAGAAATTAATTTTAATTATATATTTAAAATATATTTAATCATATATTTAACCTACTGTATCAAAAATGCCATTTCAACATATGCTGAATATAAAAGATATTTTACTAATTGCACTATTTGTATAAAATAGTGCACTTTTACTGCTCGTATTTTTTAATATAATATTTTAAATCTTTAAAACCTGGTATTTAAAATATTAAACATTTAAAATCTGGTGTGTATCTTGCATTTACAGCACATGTCAGTTTGGGCTGGCCCCATGCTCAATAGTCACCTGTGGCCACATACTGGACATCCCAGGCCTAAGTCACTGGGAAAAGGAAGGAATAAGCACCAATTCTAAGACCAGATTCTAAGCCTTCAACTCTTTCTGTTAAAAAAGAAAAATGAGATGCAATTGTGATTATGAACATGTTCTAGTACATGACATAACAAAGGGTCTACTTTTAAAATAACTTCCTCTAGATCACAGGACAATTTTCTGTCACCGGTTACCTGCCCTGTCAGCCTGGGTTCCTCCAGCATGAGGAGCTCTTTCAATCTATGAAAACAGCAAGCCAGGAAGCCTCCCTGAAACCTCATGGGCTCAGCCACAAACAAACCAAATTACCCTCATTTCCTCTCTGTTTCTCAGAATTTCAGTTCATTTATCTCCTCTGCAAACTAACTTCCAACCCAACTGATAACAAAAGAGCTATCAGAACACAAAAGCGTGATGTTGAAAATATCCCTTCTAAAAGCAAACCTATATATGGGATTTTCCAAAATCACGAAATCAGATCATTGGAAAACCCAGGCTTCCTCACAACCTATGATGTTCCCACCAGTCCATACCATCTGTTCACCAATAAAATTCTATCTAAGAATTAGAAAAATTGTGACCTGGTTATTGTGAGTGCAGATGTTTGTAAAGAAAATAATTTCTAATTTTAATTACTAACCTCTTTCCCCTACCCCCTTTTTTTAAACAGATTCTTTGGATTTTTTTTTTTTTTTGGGGGGGAATAGAGTCATCCATCAGAGTCATCCCCTCAAGATGACAAACAGTTCTACCTTCTGCCCAGTTTATACAAACCTGGAGCCATTCACATATTTTTTTTATTTAGTTTTCCTTGTTGGAATTATTGGGAGCGGATTTGCAACTTGGGCTTTTGTACAGAACAAGACAAATCACAGGTGTGTGAGCATATACTTGATCAATTTGCTGACAGCCGATTTCCTGCTCACCCTGGCATTACCAGTGAAAATCGTTGTCGACCTGGGAGTGGCACCCTGGAAGCTGAAGATCTTCCACTGCCAAGTGACAGCCTGCCTCATGTACATTAATATGTACTTATCGATTATCTTCTTAGCATTTGTCAGCATTGATCGCTGTCTTCAGTTGACCTACAACTCCAAGGTTTACCGGATACAAGAACCTGGATTTGCCAAAATGATATCGACCGTGGTGTGGCTGATGGTCCTTCTTATAATGGTGCCCAACATGATTATCCCCATCAAAGACATCAAGGAGAGGCCAAATGTAGGATGCATGGAATTCAAAAAGGAGTTTGGCAGAAACTGGCACCTGCTGACAAATTTCATATGTGTAGCGATATTTTTAAATTTCTCAGTCATCATCTTAATATCTAACTGTCTTGTCATCCGACAACTCTACAGAAACAAAGATAATGAAAATTATCCATATGTGAAAAAAGCCCTCATCAACATACTTTTAGTGACTACAGGCTATATCATATGTTTTGTCCCGTATCACATTGTCCGAATCCCATACACTCTGAGCCAAACAGAGGTAATATCTGATTGCCCAACCAGGATTTCACTCTTCAAAGCCAAAGAGGCCACGCTGCTCCTGGCTGTGTCAAACCTCTGTTTTGATCCTATCCTGTACTATCATCTCTCAAAAGCATTCCGCTTAAAAGTTACCAAGACTTTTGCTTCACGTAAGGAGACCAAGACTTTTTCTCCAAAAGAAAAATCAAGTGGTGAAAACAGTGCATAAAATGTGGGATTTCTCACTGCTAAGTAAGACCATAAATACTAGGAAAGAGAGAAAAGTGCCTTAGTAAAAGACAGCTAGCATATGTGGCCTGGTTTACTGAGAATGTAAGTCAAGCAGTACTCTTGTGGTTGTTAATAATCCTAAACTCAAATATTTGTACAAAAAAAAAAAAAAAAGATCCTGTTGAACCAATGTAAACATCATCCTTGAAATCCAAAGGTGTTTTATGACACAGACTCAGAGGCATTCATGAAGTGTTTGTTTAAATACCAGGAACTGACTTCTTGACACAAATATGTAAAATAATCTCTTGTAAAGTACCAGAAAGCCCTTCAGCATCACAATTTAAAACCATTTAGATCAGGGGCACCTGGGTGGCTCAGTGGTTGAGCACCTGCTGTCAGCTCAGGGCGTGATCCTGGGGCCCTGGAATCCTGTCCCACACTGGGCTCCCCACAGGGAGCCTGCTTCTCTCTCTGCCTATGTCTCTGCCCCTCTGTGTCTGTCGTGAATAAATAATAAAATCTTTAAAAAATAAAAATAATCATTTAGATCATACCAAAAAAAGTCCAGCTGATTTTTAAATGAAACCACCCATGCCTGATTTATTTTTTAATCCACCATTTCAAAGATGGTAACCTTTTAGCTCACTACTCCAATTTTTAATCCTTAATTGTTTTCTGACACAATAACAAACTGTTTACTTCTAAAAAGGCTTGGAGGGATGCCTGGGTAGCTCAGTGGTTGAGCATCTGCCTTTGTCTGAGGGTGTGATCCCAGATCGAGTCCCACACTAGGAGCCTGCTTCTCCCTCCCTCCCTGGGTCTCTGCCTTTCTCTGTGTCTCTCATGAATAAAAATATAAAATCTTAAAAAAATAAGAAACTAAAATAAAAAGGCTTGGAAATACATGGGTAGTTTTTAATGTACTTTATATACTTACATTCTATCAGTAGGTTATAAAGACCTTCTACTGTAAGTAATGACAAATCCAGTGTTCTTATTTTGTAACGACGTGAAATAGACCCCACAACATTTTCAAGCAAGTTGTTGAACTATACTGACTGCCGAAACTACTGTTTTGGAACTAGAAACTCACATCAAAGGTACAGAAAAAACAGCCCTTATCAAATGGCCTTAAAACAGACATGCCAAATACACATCACCTGCTGGATTGATTGGCACCACGGCTGAGGCTGGGGTCACTCCAGCTCTCAGGGTCACAACCCTTAGATCAAATTCTCTCTACTGCCAGTAATGCAGAGAAGATTCAGTAGAGGGTGTTAAATAAAAGACTTACTTATGAAAAAGAAGACTGAAAAGTCTAGATAACCATAGCTGAGAGACTTTGTGGGGTTTTCTCATTTCAATAGCAAAAGCCTGTATTACAATTGGTAATGCATTTGCATTAGCGGCAGTGATGAAGAAATGGTGTTCCTGGTAGCTCGTGCTCTCACTCTCTCCAGCTCGCCCACTCTCATAGCTCAAGAGTAGACACTTCACTTTAATAAACTTTCCCATTTGTGTTTAAAAAAAAAAAAAGGAAAGAAACAAAGAAGAAAGATAGAAATGGTATTCCTGGAAGCTAACAAAACAAGTTAGATTCCAGAACCATTTTTAGTTATGTAACCAAGATGAACCCAAAACAATTCCACTGTACAATTGCAATATCCTGAGTTACTAATATATGAGAACATGCACCCAAAAAAAGTGTCTATCACACTTCTAGCATGCTAAGTATCAGACAGATTCTAGCTCGCTAGAGGTCATGACAAGAGCCCCCCTCAGCATCATGTATCTGACCCGGTGTAAAGGGTACACCCACAGGCAGCTGGAACGCGGGCACACTAGAACCTGTCCTTGACGATGGTCTAACATGTTTTTACTGACTGGCAGATCAAGATAGGATTCATATGAGCATATGTGAAACTACTAGTTTCTTTTCCTGAATCTTTTGTTCAAGTCCCCATTAGTCTTCTCCCCATTAGTCTTCATCAGTAGGGCTACTACATCTTCAAGACTGGAAGTCAGGGGGGTTGGGTTTAAGTCATATTCTTATCTTCTCACATGCATGATAAGTTAGTAAAATTTTCCCTTTTTATTAAGGAAGAGAACCAGACTCTCTACAGCATTCCTATTGTCAATGTTTTTTTAGTATATACATTCATTTCCCCCTTACTGATGTTTTATTTTAAGTGACACAGTAAAGGGAGGCCTAGGACAACTAATGATAGAAGGTTATTAAAAAATTCTATCCTGGGCAGCCTGGGTGGCTCAGCAGTTTAGCACTGCCTCTGGCCCAGGGCATGATCCTGGAGACCCGGTTTGGAGTCCCACGTCAGGCTCCCTGCATGGGGCCTGCTTCTCCCTCTGCCTGTGCCTCTGCCTCTCTCTCTCTCTCTGTGGGTCTCTCATGATTAAAAAAAAAAAAAAAAAGAATTGTATCCTACAACATCAATTTTCTAGCACTTGTCCTATGATCACCTTACAGTTAAGTCATAATCCACCATAAGAGACTTAATCCCTGGAAATCATTCATGCTCCTTCCTCTAAGGAGTTGGGACAGTCTTTAGAATGTCACATGCTGGGAATGACTGTGTAGCCCAGGACTGCATAAACAACAGACTAATGAAGCCCATGCTCAGGTGGTACCCTGCACACGAAGACATATGGAAGAGGGTACCCAGCAAAGCTCTGCTAACCCAAGAGAGGAACACAGAATCCTCAACCAATTCCAACCATATTCAACATTTTGCCTTTTTTGCTTTATTACCCCTCTCCTTTTTATTTAACTTTTTATTTTGGAATACTTTAAGATTTACAGAAAAGGTACATAGACAGTACAGAAAGTTCCCATGTACCTTTCCATCCAGTCTGCCCTAATGTTAATGCCTTACACACCACCATGATACATTTGCCAAAATCAGGAAATTAACACTGGTGCATTAACTATGAACTAAACTCCAGACTTCAATAATCCGCCTCCTCCTACTTTTGACTCCAACTATTTTAAAACTAATTCCAGACATTATAATAGTTCATCCATAAATTCTTCAGGACACATCTCTAATGTATCAGACCACCCTTTCTGTTGCCCAAAATACACAGTGGGATTATTCCATTATGTTGGAAATGAGTGATATGTACAGGTAAAGCTAAAAAACGTATTCAGCCAGTGATAAGCAAGATTCTTAATTGTAAAAAAAGCAAAAACACACACACACACACACACACACAAAAAAAAAAAAAACAACACAGGTATAGTGATTTTGAAAGTTCCAAAATAACAACAAAACTTGAAAATTTAGAAAATATCTAGTTTGCAGATCAAAACTCCTCAAAGATATCCAGAACTTATACATACCTTACAATTATACTGCTGTTAAATAATAATAATGTGTTCAACAACAACAACAAAAAATGGCTCATTAAAATTTCTCCTAAAATTCCAGGAAAAAAAAGGATAGTAAACCTAAAAATATAAACACATTTACAGATTTTGGTCGAATTGTCATTAATACCCAAAAACCAATTTTGTTTCCCTTTAGTAAAAAGCATGTCCCTGGTTATGAGTCAAAAACTGAATTTCCTGGTAAGTATTTTTCATATGCTAGTCAATTCTTAAATTCATCAAATTAAAATCCCAAGTCCATGTCATATACAACCTTCTCTATGAAGCCTTAACCAATTTCTCAATCAGATGCTCTCTCTTCCCTCCAATTTTTATTCTTTGAGAGTGGAAGAGACCGGGAATGTCAAAGGAATGATTCACCACCTTCCGGAGGTCACTTGGGTTTTTACTCAATTATTGCATTTATTTTAGTGCATACCATTTTATATTTGTCTCCCTCCTATTTTATTCATCTTTCCGGTGCCCCAAAATTCTCATTCATCTGTATAATACCAAAAGTACCTATCACAAGACAGTGCACATAAAAGCTACTCCATAAATGAGTTTCAAATGCTCTCGATAAAAGGATACTCACCTAGAAAATTCCAATAAATCTAGCTAGCCAGTAGTATCACATCACAAATTTGAACTACAACTGTGCATATGCTATACGATCATAATTATAACAAAAGAAGCAGTAAATGAAAAAGTCACCTGCTTTCATATGTATTACTCAGGCAAGTAGTAGAACAGTCGACCGTTAATGATCCCATAATGAAAGAATCAGATTGTCAACTGCTCCAAGCAATGACTTACCAGAGGTATGGGAAAATGTGTTGCATACTGCAGGTGTCGCAGGAGGTCATAATTAGATGGAAAAATTAGCTCCCTGGGTTTTTCTCTCTTAAGCAACTTCTCACCATTAACCGACATTCTTCTGCCCAAGGAAGGGTTGGCATTCTCACAGGACTCTCCAGGCATGGGAGAAAAAATCTAAGTCATGTAAAACAAATGTTAGAGATTGTAAATGAAAGAGCGCAACACCAAAACACAGTACCACATACTAGAACTTCAAACACACAAGACACTCGTACACCATCTTTTCCTTAAACACTTAGAAACTATACAAAGAAATTTTGTTAATTTCCACAAAACTCATATTCAGATCAGCAGGAAGCTACCATTATCATCTCCCATTTTGAAGATGAGAAGATGACAACCAAACACATGTAAGAATTGTGCAAAGTTATACTTCCCAGAGGACCAGAGACAACATCAGACTCATAGGTTAAGTGTTTCCTCATAGGGCTACATTTCCTACAAAAACATACACACAGAAATAATAAATAAAACTAATAAGTAACAGATATAAAAGTTTAGTCAGTATCCCAAACAGTATGTTTTTTATAAACCACCTCACTGAGATCCATAAGGAAGAAAATACTATACTTATACTGAGAAAAAGGAGAAAAAGTGTAACAAGTCCAGAGTCACGAGAGCTATTATTTAGAAACTGAACACCTACATAGCAAATCCACATGGACTGTCACGATGAAAATACTCTATTCATGTATTCCTGACAGATGATGGTCTCAAAATGAACAAAAGAGTCACAGATAGTCAACTAGGAGGACAGGAGTGTTCTAATTTACAAAAGAGGTCATGCAACCAAAACCTCGGATGAACTGAAATGAGACAATTGTACAAGATGAATAACTGTTCCCCAGAAAGGAATATGGCAGGATCACATTTACATCACAAGTACACGAGTCATTCCAGTACACGGGGCAAGGAACAGAAGGATGGAGACAGGCTGGGATAAGGGTAGGGAAGAGGGATTAATTAGTCAATAAGAATTTGAAAGTTGAACCTACTGGAAATTCCGAACCAAAGTCAGTTTTAAAGTCATTCTTGTCTACTTCATCAAAAATATTAGTAGTTCCTGAGTCAATGCCCATATGCGCCATGATAGTCTGTTCCTAATAATTGCCAGAGAAAGAAAGTGACACTGTAAATATTGTAGTTCATTAAAAAATTGAAGCTAAAATATGACAGTGATGTTTTAAACCACCCTAGGTCTTTTCTCTCCCTAGTATCTGTATTTCCCCCAAAAAAAGAGAAGAAGTTTTAAGACATGCACTTGCTTTGCAGAGTCACATCCTTTATCCTCGTAAGATTTAACTTCCATGATACTTGAAAGAAAGAGCTCACAAAATTCCTGATTAAAAACGAACTGGCCATAATGTCCCTCCTTTATACCATTCCTAGTCACGCGCTTACAATCTTTTCTTATAGAAATCTCAGAATAAGCCCAAAAAAGAAGATACCAAGATATCCAAGAATAGAAAAGAAACAACAGAAACAAAGAAAAAGCATAAACACGTAAAGCAACTTTAGATTTTAGCCTTTCAGGACTTCTTCTGTAGGCAAATTTGGAAACAACAGTATTTACATTAAGGAAATAATTTTTAATTCCTGCACCATTTAATCACCAAATCTTAAGAACACAAACTGAATCTACACATGCAATTAATATTGTCAGATTTCTTAATTACAAGGATAGCCAGTGTTTTAAAAAATATCATCACGGTGTATGCTTAGGCTCTTACAGAACCAGTATGAGGCTTGATTTTAAGGAACTCCCACAATCTCTCACCATTTTCTACTCTTTCCCTTTCCCACCTTCATGCTTTCTGCCTTGAAAACTTCTTTAAGTATCTGGAACAATGTCCAAAACACCAGAAATTGGCAGAAAATTATAAAGTCATACAGCATAAAATAATTTGTTGAAAAGAATGATTCCACATTTCATTAATTTTTAATTAATTAGTTAATTAATTAGTTTCCGTTAATTGGAAGGAAAATATTATGTTATGATCAAAACAGGATTTCCCATTTTGGAGGAAAAACAGAAGCAATGAATGAATTGGGGAAAAGATGTTCCTTAGAACAGGACTTTAGGCCAAGACTAGGCTGATTTTAAGGCACAACAAAAAAGAAAAAGTGGAAATTAGAAATACTAACATCAGAAGCATGTCATTCCTATCCCGTAAAAAAAAGTTATGGACTGTCAAATCTATTCATTAGTAGTTTTAGAGTATCCTAAAGAATATTCTGTAGTGTATAAATTATTGTCCAAATGTTTTTTGCTAAGTAAGAAATAGAGATGAATAAGTTCTGTAACAGGAGAATACAACTAGAATGTGATCACCCTTCCACCACCAAATAATCCTTCTCAAAGTGGTTTCCCCACTGAGCATTGTTTTCAAGGCTGGGGCACCATTCCCAGGGCCATACCTCCATTTTCATGTCATGATCCTTTGGGTAGTGTTCATCCACATTTTCTCCTGCTGGAGACCGCGGTCGGGTCGAGGCAGTGACTGACAAGTCTCCTCGAGATATGAGGGTGCACATGTATGCATCATGAGAAAAGACATCGTGTCGGATGAACTCACAAAAGAGCAGCACCAGATTCACAAATTCCACCTTTTCACATTCACTGTTTGGATCCGCTATCAAGAAACAAATCAAGATTTCAGGTCCCTTGACCCAGTAGAGAAAAACACCAAATAAGAAGGCTTAACAAGGGACACCTGGGTGACTTGGTCAGTTGAAGTATGCTTTGAGCTCAGGTGATGATCTCAGGGTGCTGGGATGGAGCCCCACATTGGGTTCCCTGCTCCGAGGGAAGTTGGCTTCTCCTCCTCCAGAAATACAAGAGGAGTTAGAGTAGCTAACTTCCACTCCTGACCATCTATTTTCTATTCTCTATGATCTCTTCTGTCCCTGCAATTTCCCGTTTCCTCTTCCATGTTTCGCTACAGCTCCCTACCTTCCAACCACCTGTGTGGCTCCAGCTCTTACACTCTCCCTAGACCAGAACAGCTATCAAGTAACTAAAGGAACCTCACCCGAGAGCATCATTCAACCCCAAACGAGGCCCTTCTCAGAGTTATCAGAAGCAGTACTGTTTCCTGCTGCTTTACTTCCTTCTTCACAACAAACCTGTCCCTCCTGCCCCCTCCATTCATTTTTCTCCCCTTTCTATCACTTTTCACTTTATGCCATTTTTCTGTTGTTTTAGCACTCTCTACCCTAAGATCCTCCCTACTGTACTTTATCACACGAAAGCCTCAGAATCAGATCAAGACCACTAACTACACATACATGATTTTTTTTTTTTTAGATTTTATTTATTTCTTTGAGTAACAGCGAGCATAGGCAGGGGGAGAGAGAAGCACACTCCCCACTGGGCAGGGAGCCCGATGACAGCCTTGATTCCAAGACCCTGGGATTATGACCTGAGCCAAGAGCAGACACCAACCGAGCCACCCAAGCACCCCCTAAATGATTTTTTAAGTGTCAATTTACAATATAAACCCATTGGGCTTATAATCCCCAAACCCTTGACTCCCCCACAAACAATTCCACTAGAAAAAGACAAAAGAATGGGAGATCAAAGAATATCCCATATAGTGTAGGCAAGCAGCCAAGCATCTGCACATTTCCTTGCATCAAGGACCTGGTTGTAAACTACTTTTGATCCCCCCCCCCCCTTATCAGGAATCAGAAAATGAGAATTTTGAAACCAGTCCAAAAAGAGAAAATTCCTAATCACAACAGTGATTAGATAGTGAAACATCACAGGACCTTAGCTCCTGTCTTTTGGTAAGAAAGATCTAGAAAGGGAAGACTAGACCATCAAATAGAGAATGAGACGGCTTATTTCTAAAATTATAAAACTCTGGAAATTTTGAAGTCTTTGAATGTTACCGGATCTTTGAATTGCACAGAAATCTCCATTAAAAACATGCAACAAAATTTTTTCAGTAAAATGTACATTATATCCAGCGCCAGGAACTTTTGATTAAGATGCAAGTAAGGAAGCAAAGAAGGAAAATTAGCTCCAATCTCTTATTTAAGATCTAGAAGAAGCAAAGAACTTTACTTACATAAGGAGGGGGCCTGTGTATCTAAAAACCTTAGAAGAACATTCTGGAAAACAGGCAAACTAGATCCAGCAAGAGAGGCTGAAGAAATGGACTCCTTCTCATCTAATACCTCTGATTCACCACATCTCTAAGATTAAAAATAAACAAGCACAATTATAGGGGGCAATGAAGGCACAGTGGATCATGAATTTGTTAGTAATTTATGGACATTTCAATTCTCTGGGAAAACATGCAAAATTAATTGAGATTTCTGTACTTCTCGGCTATGCATCATATGCTATCAATCATATAATTTCTGAAAGTTAGGGGAAACTATCCCAGAACCATTCAAATGATTTCAAAGGACATCCATGAAAAACACCATTCATGTGAATTATAAACTCTGCACCACACGTTATAACTACCCACTGAATATACAGCATAGTACAACAAACTCCTCCTTATACCTATGCAAAAATTGATAAAAATAATTTGAGGTTGTCTTTTTTTTTTCTCTTCAATTTTTAATAGCTCATGTTTAACTGGATATACTTCCCCTGAGAAATATTTGGGCATGTTATTATTGAGTTTGATTTTGTGTGTTTGTTTTTACGAGATGAGTGTATGTATGTATGTGCAGGGAGCACTGGGAAATGTGGTGTTGAATGAGAAAGCTAACGTTATTCCTCTGATAAGATTCTTTCACTCATCACACTTCACCAATTAAGATCTCTCAGAACCTGTGGAGTCTGCACAGTTCATGGAACACATCTAGAGAAGCTGCTTACCTTCTGCATTCAAGACAGAACTTACTAAAAGACCACAAAACAATTCAAAAGCACTCAGAACCCTTAATATCCTTTTGACCTTCCCATTTTCATGATCTATTCTTTAATACTAATATATTAATTACTACATTAAGACATTATTTCCCTAATCCATCCTCTCTTTGTGAAGGTCAAATTTTGAAAATGGTGATGTTTGACAGCAATTACCTTAAACATCTCTGAGAGAATAAGTTTTTTAGACGTGGACACATTCACACCTATTAAAATTACAAAATAATCACTTCACCTCTTCTGAAAGTGACTGTGTGTGGGTCCACGGATGCATCCTAGAGCACACTGGAGGAAGGGATGCCTATGAGACACGACAACCCAGAAGGAGCAACGAAATTTGAGAAATTCAACTTTGGTTACTGATCACCGCAATTCACTGTAGAATAATCTATCTACTCATAGAAGAAAGGAAAACAAAAGGGCGATGAAACACCTTTCCTAATCTACACACTGTAAATGGGCCATGTGTTTCACACTTCACTTAACCCAGTATCTTCAAGCCCCAACCTGAACAATGTGATTCTTTTTATTTGGTGAACAGTATTTTCCCAACAGGAGGGGAGAAAGAGAGGTCTATGGACATGTTCTTCCTATTTTATTTTTTAAGAGCTTCACAGGACACACTATTTTCAATAAGAGAGAACCAGCTATGTCCTCATCTACTCATACAACATTTTCTGAGCATCAACTATTCACTGAGCACTGTTCTGGGTGCCAAAGACAACACTCAACAGGGTAGATGAGGTCCCATTTGTCACGCTTAAGCTCCAGAGGGTGGTAGGCAGGCAGTAAACAATAAGTCAATGAGGAGAGTAAAACAGAGTGATGTGAGAAAGAGTGCCTGAAGGGTGGGTGATAGAGGATCTTCCTGAGGAGGGGACATATGTTGAGCTACAAATGCTAGAAAGACACACTTCCTAAAATAAGAATGGCAGAAGGGAACTGGCCATGTAAAGAAACACCCAGAAGGAACAGCAAGACAAAGGTCCCAAAGGCAGACGCTGGTGTGGTGTGCTGAAGGCACAGGAGGGCCAAGGTGGCTGCGACTGTTACCCACGGGAGAAATACATGAGATGAGGAGAGAAAGCCAGGCTAGGGAGGCCCATGCAAGACTCTGTGGACACAGCAAGGAGTCATCAGAGGTCTGAGGAAGGGGGCAACGTGATCTGCTTCCAGTATGAAAAAGCTGCTCTGGGTGCTGTGAAGAGCAAAGCAAAAGATGAGCAAGGGAGCAGAGAAGAGGGGGCCCTGCAGCAGTCCTGAGTGAGGGTGAGGGTGGGCCGATCACACCACACACACCCCTTCTCCTGGCCATCCCTCTGGATCTTATGGGCAGATAAGGAGGCTAACTTAAGAATTTTCCCTCCAACAAAAGCTAATGTTTATCAAGTTAGCTTTGGATTTTTTTTTTCCCTTTATGATCTCTACTTCCACGGCTTTAAATGCTCTATCTGGGGCCAGTACACAATCTCAAAACTAATGCAAATTGGTATCAGTAATCTCAAAATCAGAACTGCCTCAAGAAAATACTTCCACATCCACTAAAAATTATGTAGCTTTAAAATTCAAAAAGTTGTTCTATATTATATACATTTCCGTGTGTGTACATATTAAATGTATATAATACAAAACATATATATGTGCATGTGTTTCAGCCTCATATAAGGAGAGGTCTTTGTTCTAAATCAGACGTGAAAGTTTTATTTTAAAAGATACAATTTTAAATTAGTCCAGAATATAAATTATTGGCTTCATCAACAGAACGATCTTATATGTCGTCCTTCTGTGAATTTGTATTTTTCCTTAAAGAAGAAAAAAAAATAGCATAATGAGTAAGGAAAAAGAATCCTCTCCAAAACAGTTATTTTTAAATGATGGTGTTCGACAGCAGAAAGAAAACTGAACCTACCTCTGCCTCGATTTCCGCTTGCCTCTTCTCCAAGAGTTTTGCCACCGCCATGGCCCTGTGCTTGCCTGACCGTTTGCAGCTCACCGCCCATTCACACAGCAGCGTCACCACAGCTTCATCATTGGGAGCGACCTACAACCGAGAGAAATAGGTACCAGCCACGTCAAATGTCAAATGAAGTATTCACCCAATGAGAGGAAGCAAGTGTTGTAATGTTTAAAGCTTCTAAAGCTTTCTTTAAATTAAGCTTTCTTATATTCTATTATAGCTATTTTATTTATTTAATGTTTTAAAGATTTTTTTTTCTTTTTTTTAATTCATAAGAGACACAGAGAGAGAGGCAGACACAGGCAGAGGGAGAAGCAGGCTCCCTGCAGAGAACCGTATGCGCGGCTTGATCCCAGGACCTCGGGATCATGCCCTGAGCCGAAGGCAGACGCTCAACCACTGAGCCACCCAGGTGCCCCTATTATAGTTATTTTAGAAAATATTCCCTAATCTTTTTTAATTGAAGTATAAAGAGTAACACTAGAAGTAACAAGGAGGAAATCACTTACTAGAACAGCTCAATCTATGACAATTTCAAGGGATTGAGAGTCTCCTTTGTACATGCCTTCATTTACATAGAATCATCACTCAGTCTCACTGATCCTCCAGAACTCAACTGATGTTGATAAAGCCAAGAGAAAGGGAAACTGACCACTGAATAACCAGAAGAGCTGTTACCTATCCCAAGCCCTCACTCCACTGTTGACCCCCTCACACTCTCACACTCCAGTCTTGTTTACTACCTAATCTTAACTTGCCAGGTTATCAAGTTGCCCAACAGGAAACCGAAGGGAACTGGAGAGGAAGCTAGAATACTGACCAAAGACTCACTGCATTAGAAACAACAAACATGAAAAATGGCAACCAAGCATCAAAAAAACAAAACAAACAAACAAAAAAGAAAACGAAAATTAAAAGCAGACACAGTTAACAGAGGACAATATATCCTGGGCCTATGTAGGGCTCAGCACTGCCATCAGAACTATAAGCTGTAGCTGCCACGGCCTAGAAATGGGAACCACAGACTGAGGATCAGAGGGGTCAAAGGTCACAGGAACCCAAGTGACATGAATTAGGGACAGGTAGGAGGAGGTAAGTCATAGGAGAAACCATCCTTTTATGTAACCACGCCAACCAATGCAACATCAATCACAAGTTTTTAATATCTGTCCAACTGTATAAACACTACGCCAGAAGAACTGGATAATTCACAGTATTGGTATTTATATGCTAATCGAGAAGTCCCTAACTTTTTAGAATCCACAGCTCAATTGTGATTATAATCCTTGTAAACACACTCCCAGGAAAAATATGCAGATATATACACATAAATCTATGACAACTTTTAAGAAGGTTCACAGACTCCGAGAAGACACCCAGGAATCCTAGGATAAGAATCCCTGATCAGCTTGCAAATAACCTAGATCATGAAAATCACTTTATTCCAAGATTCTTAGTCATCCTACCCAAAATCTGGTGGAACACATGTTGACTCATAACAAAGAAATGTTATCTAGGACAGATCTCAAAAGCACCTCTGGGTCTCTTAATTTAAATTAAGAGAAATAATTCAATTAAAATATATAAAGGTTGAATATAACATTTAAAAAAGAAAGCAAACTAGAAGGAATGTTTGCCTGGATTCAAATAAATCCAGAGAAAAGTAAAAATATAAAAGTTAATTCAGTGAAGCATCACATGCTTAGACTTAGATTATAGACAACAAAGAAAGTTACCCTGAAAATACTACCATCACTTTTTAATAAATTAGTAATGTGCATCATATCCACATTCATAAAGTCTCCTGTATTTTATTCTACATCATTAAAACAACATGAAAAAAAGGCTACAAAAGAACAAATAATGACTCACTCAACTTAAGTAATAGGCTTCTCTTGACGTAGAGAGGCATAGAATAGCACATATAAAGGAAAACACTTTTTTTTAAAAAACACATCCAGAGAGGACCACTGGTTTGGGGTAATGTACTAGAAAATAAGCCATAGGAAGGAGTCCATTCACTTCCAAAAGCACTTACTAAGTACCCATGCTAGACACTGAGGAAACAAAAATTTAAAAGATCTGACCCCTGTTCTCTAAAAGTTCACCCTCTAGAAAGAAAAGCAGAAAAGACAACTAAATCATAAAGCTATGAGATATGGTGTGCCTGGCTGGCTCAGTCAGAGGAGCATGTGACTCTTGATCCTGGGATCATAAGTCAAGCCCCATGTTGTGTATAGAGATTACTTATGCAAACAAACAAATAAATAAATAAACCTTAAAAAAAAAAAAGTTACAGGATGTTTTGACAACACGGAGGAAGAAGTAATTAAGCCCGCCTGTCTGCACCTTCCATATCTCATAGGGAATGAGCATCCATCAATCCCATCTCACCAACATCTGAGAGCATAACTTGAAGACAGAGGGCCTGCAGTCCGCCTGCTACAGCTATGGTCTAAACTTGTAATTATTAGGAAATAAGTGAATTAAGACAATCTAAGGAAAATGCTGCTGAAACATTCCATTCTTAAAATATAGAATTTTATTACAGGAATTTTCTTGTATTCGTATCAATTACATGCCTATAATCCATTTCCAACCAATAAACATTTTCCAATTCTGGCCAGATTCAAACAGTACAAAGTCCACTCTTTTTTTTGGAGTATCAGATAGACTGTCAAATAATGCCAGTCTTTCCTTAGGAGACTGGAGTAGTGAGGATGGAGGAATAGATAGGTTCTGTGCCTATTTTAAAATAAACAGTAAGATAAATAAATAAATAAATAAATAAATAAATAAATAAAACAGTAAGATATTACTAAAGATGTTTTATTACTACCTTCTCAGAAAATCATACTGGAAAAATCAGGTCACATGATACCAACTTGAATGCAAACAATCCCAGCAAAACAAATATTACATATTTATGTATTTGGGTCATAATGTACTTCATTACTTCTTTATTGCTGAAAAATTATTAGTTATAAAATATTCTTATAGTTTCAGTGTATTTTTCTAGATAATTTCTCAATGAAAACTCCCCCTCCAACCTCTACTAATTACTACTAAGTTTTGATTCACATTTTAAGCTATTTTTACCAAGAGTCCTCTTCTAGATTCTGCTATCAAAAATGAGGATATCCAGCCTATTTTGCTCTATGTACCCGTTCCAGGGAATATCCAACCAGACATGTTCAATGTGCATACAAACAGACCTCCCCGGCTCACACTCCCCACGTGCAGATCCTTGTACCCCTCCCCCACTGCTCTGCATCAATCAACTTTTGTAAAATTAGAGGATTGCTTCCATTTGCCTGCCAGATGCTATCTTACAAATTAATTCAAATAACTGTCAACAGAACATCACAATTTCAAATATGTAAACTGAAGTGCATTCTCACCCTATAAACAAACTTCTAAGAATATTAAGCTCCATTTCTGTATTTTTTTAAAAAAAGATTTTATTTATTTATTCATGAGAGACACACAGAGAGGCAGAGACACAGGCAGAGGGAGAAGCCCAATCAATGTGGGACTCGATCCCAGGACCCTCGGCTCGGGATCACGACCTGAACCAAAGGCAGACGCTCAACCACTGACACACTGAGATACCCCAAGCTCCATTTCTTTAAAACGATAATTATTTATGTGCAATTTAGTAAATATGATTTTAACATATAATAACTTCAAGGCAAAATTTGAGGCAATTTAGGAGTTCAGCATATGAACTACAATCCCGGTCTTCAACGAGATGACAAGTGGGACAGACATACATATATACCAATAATTCGGATGCATTAAAAAGGAAATGAAAATTGCCTCAGAAAGTCAACATTGTTAACAGGAACAGAGAGAGAAGCCTGAAGAGAACATCTAGATGCTTCCTTTTAAACAGTGGTTTTTGAGAAAAATCCTGAAGAATGAGTTAAATTTCAAAACAGAGATGAACAAAAGGAGAAACAAGTATGTGGGAGACAGAATAACACACCCCCCCTCCACACCCCCAACCCCAAGATGTCCACATGGTAAATCCAGGACATGTGAATACATTACCTGAAATGACAAAAGGGACTTTGTGGCTGTATTCAAGGTCAGGAGGTTGGGGGCGGGTGGAGGGGGGATTATCCTGGCTTTATTGGATGGAACCAACGTAATCACAGGGGTAGTTGTGAGGCAAAGAGATGTGACAAGAGAAGCAGGCGCCAGGTCAGGGAGAGACTGGAAGATGCTGTGCTGGTGGCTTTGGAGAGGGAGCAAGGGGACACAAGCTGAGGAACGCAGGTGGCTTCTAGAAGCTGGGAAACACGGAGAAAGAGTGGCCCCTATGACCCCCTCAGAACGCAGCCCGAGTGACACTTTGATTAGAGCCCAGGTAACCTCCAGAACTACAAGAGAATAAATTTGTGTTGTTTTAAGCCACTAAATTTCTGATAACTTGGGATGGCAGCAATAGGAAATTACTCCAAACTAGTTTTAAACAAGTATATAAAAAGCGGCAAACACGGGTGTAGTTCAAGGAATTAGAAGAGCAGGACTAACTGGTTTGGTAGCAAATAAAGGAAGGCCACATATAGGTAAAAATCCGGGGAACAGCTTAATGATACCACATTGCAAAAGAGTAGCATGAAATAGGTAGAAGCTTCATTAATTCATTTACTAAGTTATCAGTAAGTGTATCTCGAATACCTACTGTGCCAAGGCCTTTTCTAGGCGCTAGATATAGTCTCACGTACTATTTTGTAGGAATAAAACCTGCTGATTCCCTCTGGATGTGATTCCCACTATTTAACAAGAGCCTTAAAAATGTTCCTATCATTCGTTCCAATAATTCAATCTTTGGAAATACAACCCGAGGAAACTGTCTTAAAGTAAGAAGACAGGAGTGCTCGAGTCATCAGGGAAACAAGACACTAAAACCCTCCCCCCCTTTCTAGAGCCAGAAACTGACAGATTCCCTCTGAAATTTGAAGGAGGCACACAATGGAGCAAATCAGAGAAAACAGGGTGAGCTCACAGACAGAGAAAGGGCTCTATGGGTGGTTCACAGGCCACATAATTTGTCTTTGGCGGTGGAACTATGGGTA